TCAAGCAGATTAGAGTTCTGGTCAAAATTACTCAGTAAAATGAAGTACAAATGTACTTAGGCCTTCGAGAAAACGATATGGGACATAGTCACAACAAACTAGCCCATAAATGGCTCTCTTTTGACTCAACTTCTGATAACCACGCCCATCAGTGACAAGTGGAAGTCTCGACCAAGCATTGAGTCTTTATCGCATCCTCAAGACCGTTTTTTGTCATTGCAGTGCTTCCTATCGCCTCCTCGAGAATCGAAACTTCTTACCAAAACAAATGTTGAGAAAAAAGTCGAATCGTGGGCTTTTCCATCGGAAAAGAAATCCTTTTGCTAGAACCCGGGGTTTAGTATTGCACCTTTTGAATTTTCAGGTGAGAAAGTTGCTATTAGACCTGAGCAGCTGTCGTTGTGTTCAACAGACGCTGTACAATTCGTGAAATGTGGACATTAAATGACCCTCGGCGTACACTGTGAAAGACTTACTTGCATGAGTTTTGTTCCTACGCCCTACGATCCACTCGTTCAAAGTCTCATAAGTTTAGGCCGTGACTTGCGAACACATAATACCAGGAATTTAGGTTGTGCTTTGAGCAGCCCTCTTGTACATCCTCTAAGGATTATCGCAAGATTGCTGAGTTATGACCAAATCTGCTCACTCGCAAGGAAATCGAATTCGTAATGGTGCTTTCTGGGCATCGCGCTCGTTAACCTTTCAATAACGAGAACCCCTTTATTTTTAGAGTGTACTAAAACCTAATGGCCAAGTAGCCTTCAGATAATGTAAGGAATCAAGAGCATGGCGTCAGGTAAGCATAACCACAGTTCAAATCCCGTCAAAGAGTCAAAGTTTTGGCCACAACTGAGCAGCCCTGTTATGTTTTACGCATCGCAAAGTGCAAAAACAGAAATCAAACGAAAACATTAAACTTCATGAATATATGGATGCCAAATATCCGAAATTCGCTAAAAGGCAAAGCGGTTCTCAACTGCCAAGCCGAAGCTGTGATCTATGGGTGCCAGCTTGAATAGTCTGCATTTTTGTCACGGAAAAGGGCTTGGCTATCAAATCGTCGGCCCTAAGGGAGATAAAGGAGTCTTGGCTTGGCTATTCTCCACCTACTGAACACACTATGCTCACCATAACCTATATAGGAAGAGGGTGTACAAACGTGAACGATCCTCGATAATCGACGATTTCTGGCTAGCCGCTTCGTCTTCGAGTATACCATTCGAATCTAAAGCCTCTTACCAGTGAAACTTTAATAGTACAGAATTGAGGAATGAAAATCGGTGTGGATACATCTTGACGGCATGGTTGCGGGAATTCACCCACAAGAGAAAGCATGCTGCGGAAGGGGTCAGAAATGATAGGACATCCTCATTCAGGCTGTACACTTACGCCCACTGAAAAACAAATGCGCAACTATTGATCCCGTCGCTCATTAAACGACAGCCCCCTCTCGAAACTTGAAGTGTCATCAATCTGCTTCACACACTGGCCCATGATAGCAGGTCATGGAGTAATTGGGACTAACAAAAAGTAGCGAATGATGAGTAGTTCATTGTTATCTCATTACCAAGTAACTGATTAACTGATCAATTATCAGCCCAGAATTTCACTATATTCACGAAGTGATAATTTTTACAGAATCTATGAGCCACCCATGATATATGCTTGGACAAAAATAAAAAAATTCAATCTACTGAAATTTAATCTGTGAAATATTTTCCTCGAAAACTAGGTTGCCCGAACAGTCAACAATGGTTGGAGCAGTATGATTTGGTCTGCCCTAATAGAACCTCCTGCGCTCCATCTCAGGCACAAATATAAAAAATTCTCATCATGATAAACCACCATATATCGCGGGCCCAATACTATTTAAGCTGCTTTGATTTCTTAGGGACCGCGGCCCTTGAATGTTATCTTCAAACGACCCACTGATCAATACAAAACCAAGAAAAGCACTAAAAAGTAAGAGTAATACTCATAAGAAATTCCGGGTCATTACGATGGCAAGATTGCTTATGCCTCCCGAGGATCAGGGATGAAACTATTTATTAATTTCAAGGGCCTCATGTCAAGGGACTCGACGTGGTCATGTTTTCCGAGGGCCACATTTCCACTGTCAAAGCGTAAAAATCCGTAGCCGTTATACCCTACGGCAGTAGCGTAACGGTTGACAAGGGTCTGAAGAAGACAACAACGTTGAAACGTCAGGCTGTAGAGAATTCATGAATAGGTCTCACCTGAAAACTTCCACAAAAATTTTACTTTATTCATATCTTGAACTTTTTTGCTGAGGTTACAACAAGAAAAAAGTCGAAAGCCATCTGAGTACTGCTCAAAGCGCAGTTGAACGATAGAAAGCGGAAAACTAAGAATCGGCCGTTGAAAAGCGGACCGAGCGGTGCGGGGGAGAAAAAGTAAAACGAAAACGACCAGCCGCGCTCGTTTTATCAGCTGGAATCGGACGGCAGCAACCCGCCGTTAGTTATGTCATCACAATCAATCACTATTTTCGAGATGGACTTTGACTGTTGTCCATTTGAACTTGCAAAAAGAACCTTGTAATCCTGCAGGCAAATAAAGACTGCAACGATTCCAAAGATCTCCGAGCTTTTTTTTGAATTTTGGTGGGACAGAGTAGAAAAATTGTTGCTGAACATTCCCTAGTATTGTAGATTGGCACTAAGCATGTCTGCGATTGTGAGAACGCTATTTGTAAAGCTCTGCGGAGATCGCTGAATAGGGCGAATGTGCAACCAATCAAAACAATGATTTTGAAAGAGAACCGGCTCGTCTTGGGCCACTACCAACGATGTGGCCCCAAATCCCTCCTATCTTTTCTCAAAGGTCCAAACCGTTACAGTGTTACTGAGTTCCGCTTGCTTTGAAAGATACTTCATAACTCCCTCTCACCCTACGAGTCTTCCGCTCTCCCATAAATCTGGTACGCCCTTTGTTCCTTCACCGAAATCATCTCTGTTATGCCGTGACGAAGCTCATACAATAGCCACTGAGACAACATCCCCGATGACATACAAATTTCTGTCGAATGGGTCTTCAGGTAAAAACCATGGAATGCAAAAGTGCAGCTGATGTCTGCAACTGATGACCGACCAATATTTTTTTTTACGGACTGCAGTCGCTCGTGCTAATGATGAATCATCAACTCAGACTTATTTAACGAACCAAAAGAAAAACCCACTTTACCCACAAAAAGCCCAACTCCTTTTGAGAAGGGCCGTTGGTCTATTGGACAACCGAGTAGGCTGGTGTCGTGCTCGGTGTTATTGGCAAACGAAAAGGCAGACTTCCAGCAAATAAGCAAACAAGTAATTAGTGGAGTGCTGCACAAGAGGCAGGTAAAACGAGTAGCAAACAATCGACAATAGTCTGTATCATCAAAATTACTGACTGGTGTAGTAGGAAAAGGTCTCAGGAGCCATTGACGTCACGAATATCACTCTCTATTTTTGAGAAATTCCGTTGAAAATAAGTTCTCAAAATGATCACTCACCACTGTACACTTTGGAATAGTAGGGCACCACATTTTAGCCACTGACAGAAGACAGCAACTGTTCATCAGACTTCGTCGTGACGTACATTCAGAAGAAGCGGTAACGTTATGGCTGGAAACCAGAAGCATTCTAGACGTGTATTACTCGAAGTAGTATTTTGGATTGCTAGATTTGCGACAATTTATTCTCTGATCAT